TTTGGATAATTTTTTAAGATTTAATGCATTTCAAAGTTCTGTAAGATTAAATAATTTTGCAGCAAAAAATAGAGGAAAGAAAAGGAAAATATTAAAATGATTTGAAGGAGAAGAAAAAAGGATAGGAATAGATGAAGGAATAAATTTAAAAAAAAAAAAAAAGCATATATAGAATAAAAAGAAATTGAGCGCAATGCACTTTTATACACCTCATTGTATCGAATTATTATTATTCCGAAACTTGTCGTTTATTTCATTTCAAGTACTTCGTATGAGAAGTGATGAAATAATTGAATGAGAATTTTGTTGTTCATTTCAATTCCGTTCAGTTAATGTATTTAATTTCCTTCAAGAAAAACTCTTTACCAAATGCTTCTCTTCAATATTCAGGTAAATATTATTGTTTAATTGTGCATAAATAGATAAGCAAATGTGCTTCTTTTTTTTTTTTTTTTTTCTACACTATTTTTCACATAAACCTCTTGCAGTATAAAGTAATAGAATAAATAAGTATGGATCATAAAAAAGAAAAAAAGAAATGAAATTATTGCTACAATAAAAAATTTTATCAGTTATATATGTTATGCATTTTTATTATTTTGAAGTTTTATTTTCAGATAATTTCATGAATCAGATAATTTCTCATGTGTATGGTATATGATTTTAATTCATCAAAAATGTTACATGAATGCATTTACTGTTTAAACTCCAATTTAAAATTCATTTTGAGCGGTGCTCATTAGTAATTATGATGTGAGCGCGATTTGGATCAATTATACTTAATTTAATTTGATTTAATTTAATTAAAATTAGAATAGATCAATTGGGTTTAATGTGGAATTGATAGATAATTAGCATTTTACTAAATCTTACTAATGTTATCCTCAGCAGCACATGAAATAGTTTTTTTTTTTCCCTGCTTTCATACACATATGGAATATATATAACACAAAAAATTAAATGATCGCATAGATCAAATGAGTTGATTTTTAATTTTCTTTAATACGAGAGATTTAAGGATGATAGTAAATACTAATAGCAGAAAAAAGATGTATTTATTATTTATTGATTTTAATCTCTTAAATTTGTTTTAACTGCAAATGATAATTTCATTCCATACTTTTTTCATGACTTTTCCAATTTTTATAAAATTCTAAAGCGTTTTGCATTTCTTTTATTTTTATTTTCATTATTTATTACTAGTTTTATTAGAGATGGAGAGAAAGAGAGAGAGAAAGAGAGAGAGAGAGGAAAAGGAGAGTATGTGTAATAGCAATAATAGTAGTCGTAGTGATAAGAGCAGTTGTAGTAGTAAT